TCTCACCAAGTTGCTAAATTGTCCAGAATGAGCTTTAACTAGTGATTTTTCTGCCTCAGTCTCCTAGAGTGCTGGGATTAAAGATTGGCATCATATCTCTTTCCTGGTTTTTTTTTTTTTCCTTTTTTGAGACATGGTCTTGCTGTGGCAGTTCAGGATAGCTTTGAACTTACTGTAGAGCTTAGAGGCTGAGTGTGGTGGCACACACCTGTAATTCTAGCACTCAGGAGGCTGAGGCAGGAGGATCATTTGGAGTTTCAGACCAACCTGGGCTACAAAATGAGCTCAAGGCCAGTCTTGAACTCATAGCAAGACCCTCTCTCAAAAAAGCAAAAAATAAAGAACTCACTATGTAGCTTAGGCTGGCCTCAAACTTGCTGCAATTCTCCTGCCTCAGCCTCTCTAGTGCTGGGATTACAGGCATGCACCACTGTGGCTGGCTGAAGACATCCTGTTACAGTGATACTTTCATACCCATTTTTAAAAAAAATATATTTGGTACAGGGTCTCACTATGTAGATCTATCTTGGAGTGATTCTCCTGTTTTCAGCCTCCCAAACTCTGGGATTACAGGTGTGTACCACCACGCCCAATCTCAATCACCATCTCAGTGTGCCTTGGGGGTGAGGCCGGCACAGCACGCAGGGGACTACACAGCACGCAGGGGACTGAACCCCGGCAGCTGGGCTCTGCCTAAACAGGCCCTTTAGTCCGCTGAGCTATCTGTCCAGTCCTGTATCCATGTTTATAACAACACAATAATAGCTAAATCTTGAAAATAGGCCATCAACATATGAATAGACAAAATGTATTTATACACAATGGAGTATTACTCTCCCATAAAAAGGATAAACTTGTAGATAAAGGGATGTACCTCAAGACCATCTATTAAATAAGTAAAATACACAGGCTTAAATGTCACATGGTTTAACCCACAATATAAAAAAGAACAAAATAAAAGATAGCAGGAAGGAGATCTTTCTCATTTGGAAAGGGGAACAAGAGACAGAAGGAGGGTGGCTTGGCGTGGTGGCTCACACCTGTAATCTCGGCACTTGGCAGGGAGGCCGAGGCAGGAAGAGTGCCACAAATTGGAGGCTAGCCTGTACTGCTTAACAAGCTTAAGGGCAGTTTAAACGACAAGGCAAGATCCTGTCTCAAAAAAAGAAAAGGGTGGATGGAGGGTAAGGGGATTAAACAAACAAACCCTGAGACAGGATTGCAAATGGGAAGGGAACCAAGAGATCGAAGGACGCTGATGCAGGGAAAAAGAGGCGGAGGCAGCGTGTACATGTACCAACATCCATGAGGAATATAATCACTATATACCACAGATAACTGTTTTTAATTGTATGTCTTCAATGGGATCGCAGAAACCTCCGAGTTTGCCCAAAGCATTTACATAAGCAGATGTGATGGAATGGAATGATTGTTCTGGGGCTGTGCTAAGCAACGTAATCTGTGGCTCTTTGGGAACTATGTTACAAATCTGTGAGATTTCATTATAACTTGTGAAAGTGAGGTCACGTTCTGCCAATTACTTTTTCCTCGCCTCGAAAATTTTACAGGAAGAATTTTCTTCTCTATCTTTTCCTTCTATAATCCAAAAGGTTGGCTAACCGTGAATGGTACTGCCCAAAGTGAGCGCGTAGTACCGTTTGATGTGGGAGTCTGCGTAGTAAACAGCTCGCTGGACCACGCGCACGCGCACTTTCTGTGGCGTTGTAAGATGGCTGCCAGCCATTTTGTCGTGCGTCCGTACCCGTAACCCGTGGCAGCGTCTACCGCCATCGGAAACGTTAGTCCCACAACTGTGGGAATTGCCACGATCTTGTTTTGTGAAACGTTTTCTAGCTCTTAAGAGACGTGCCCCGCTCCCAGCAAACCGAAGGCGGACCCAGCGCGCGAGCAACACCCTCTCAATCCTTCGGCTTCCACCAACTTCACCTTTACAGTTACAGCCCCCAACCCGCTACTCGCTCAACAGTTTGCGCAGGCGCACAAAGCATCGCGGCCCCTCCTCGGCCCTCGGGGCTTGTGCGCTCCTGCGCGCGCTTCTCCGACTCCTCTCTTGATTGGTCAGACTGCCCAGCCATCACGCCTCCCTAAGGCTGCGAGGTTGAGAAGGAAGCCGAGGGGCGGGACTAAGCTGCGCGTGCGCGGTGCTGTTGCGGCGCTCTTACTGTTGCGTTGCATTAAAAAAAAAAAAAAAAAAAAAAGCCCTGAGTAGGTCGCCTTGGGCCTTTTCTGTGGTAGAGACTGTAAAGGACAGAGAAAGATCTCTGCAACTGAAGGGGCAGTCGGGTAGTATTCAATTTACGATATTAGCAACCGGCGTGGTTTACAGGAACGTGGGGATAGGGGCGATGGGCTTCAGGGCGGAGAGCCGAAGAGTATAAAACCATCCGTTTCGGCCGCAGGCGTTTGCAGGTCCTACTTTGCGCGTAATTCTGCCCTTCCTACTGACTGGTTTAAACACGACCCCTGCACAGAGTTGCTAAGCCCGCAGCTCCGCCGCGCGGCGCGTAGGAGCCGCCAGCGCGCCCCGCAGCGGGTCCTCCCGCGGCTCCGGGGCGCTCGGCGCGTGGCGCGCCCCCACCGCCCGCACTCGCGGGATTGTTTTGCCCGCGCCGCCGCCGCCGCCGCCGAGGAGCAGCAGCGCTTGTGCAGACCGGGAAGATGGCGGCCGGCGGCGGCGGAGGCAGCAGCAAGGCCTCCTCCTCGTCGGCCTCTTCGGCAGGGGCTCTGGAGTCCTCGCTGGATCGAAAGTTCCAGTCGGTAACTAACACGATGGAATCCATTCAAGGCCTGTCGTCCTGGTGTATAGAGAACAAGAAACACCACAGCACCATCGTGTACCATTGGATGAAGTGGCTGCGGAGATGTGAGTGTTGGGGCGTCCGGGGCAGGGAAGGCTGGGGACGGAGAGGGACAGTCAGCGCTACACTCGGGGGGCTCTCGGCGCGGTGGCCCTCGCAGGAGCTGGGCCCCGAGGGCCCCCCAGACCAGGCTCCATTCCCTGCCCGGCTTGCCCCGGAGTGCTCTATTCTCGGGATTTTTAAGCCAGCGACTTGGTCTGACCTTGGGCCCAACGCCCAGGTCCATCAAGATTTCCGTATTTCATTTCAGAGCTTTCTAAGGTGTCTTACTGATTTTACTGAACCTTCGCGGAAATCGCGGCGTCCGTTGATTTCTTACAGGCCTTGCTTGAGGTGTGATTCCTGGTTTTCCTGACGGTAGGCAGGCTGTGGTGTGAGCAGTTAAGTCAGCTTGCCTCAGTGGCAAAGGTTGGACTGTTGTGTAGTTTTCGCTGACCTGAAACTTGTAATGTGGCATCAGGAGACCCAGATCTGGGTGAATGTCCCTAAAACTTGTGATGTGTTGTAAAGAAGGATTTGCCACGATAAGCGTTACGAAGCAACGTGAACACTACATAGATCTGAGTTTCCCTTTTGCTGCGGTAAAGTAGACTTCCTGATCCTGACCCAACCTGGAATGTTGTACTCTGCTCATCATTAATACCTTAAAATACAAAACATAGCTGGCTACTTTAAATGGACCGAAATATGTTTTTACAGAATGAAGTTGGCTTTCATAGGTAACCAAAACAGGAAATGTGATTTTTTTAAGCTGTATAATACTTTTTTTTAAAAGACAGAGTCTCCCTATGTAGTTCAGGCTGGCCTTGAGCTCACTTTGTAGTCCAGGCTGGTCTTAAACTCAAAACGACCTTCCTGCCTCAGCCTCCCAAGTGCTTGGATTAGACTTGCACCACAGTGCCCTGCTTTTTTTCTTAATTTTGCAACCTCCCCACCCCCACTTTCTTGCTTTACTACAGAAACTTACTAACACATGGATTGTTGCAAGAGATTGTGGAATCTTTTTATTTTTTATTTTATTTTATTTTATTTTTTGCGAAACCGGGGATTGAACTCAGGTCTTTGTGCTTGCCAGGGAAGCGCTTATTCCACTGAGCCAT